ACATCCCCTGTGAGTCTTCTCTGCTCGAGGCTAAACAATTACTGTCAGTCCCTCTTCAAAGGACTGAGTTTCCAGCCAACTTGATTTCCCTTCAATAAGCCTCTTCCAAAATCCTTTTTAAAATGTGCTGCAGAAAACTCAGCCCTTCAGCACAGGACAAAGTGGAAGTAGCACTAACCCTGATTTGGAAACTTTGCCCCTCTTCATGCATCTTTTTGTGGTAGATCATGCTGCTGGTTTAAATTCATCAGTTTGTATTCGGCCGCCCTTACAACTATTAACTGCATTTGTCTCTATTAAATTTCATCGCATTACTTTTTGTTAGGTTCAGCCCAAGAACCACAACGAGACAGTCCAGGAACAGCTCATTTACTTTATTAGCTTACACCTACTAGACAGAATCTCGCCAGACCCCAACGACAGCAACTATAACGCTGAATCCCTTAGGGTGGTGCTAGTCTCCTCCTCTTCACTTTCACACCCTCCGGCTGGGGGCTGAGGAGATGCTTGGAATGTCTCTCCCCTTCCCTGTAACCTTGAAGCTCCATTCAAGGATCCTCCTCACTCATGCCTTCCATCACACTTTTAGTCCATCAAAATTAGTTTGAGGGTTATATCCGTCTTCTAGACAATTATCTTCCTCACCCAATTTAGCCTTTTTCAAATTTGGTAAGATCCAATGCACTCATTTGTCTCAGCGATTCACAAGAATTTTGAAGAGTAGGGGGCCCAGGACTGAAACTTGGTGGCCTCCATTAGATCCCTCTTAGCTTGATGAGGGCGGATGAGTGCAGTTTTGAGCCAGCTATGGATCCATGGGGTTGCCATAGTGTACAACCCATATTTAATTAGCTAGTCAATTCTCAAGCACAATCTCTTGTTTTAGAAAGCTTCTGCTCTTGGCAGGATGACAAACAATGTTGTTTCCCTCTACCAGGTACGGGGAAAAAAAACAATTTGAAATACTGATGGTTTTTCCTCTAGAGCTACACTGGAAAATCTGGGATTACATCGATATCAGTGTGTTTCTGAAAAGCGTCATGAAACAATTCAGAGGTAACAAAGAACAGCCACGGGGTTTTTAAGCTGGATGACACTTTGATCCCAGACCATCTAAGGGACATTCTCTGTTAGTGTCAGGAGGGATCAAAGAGGGACAGATTTCAGGGTCAGTGGAAAAGACACCTTCATTTTATGTGTTTGATGTGTTCAGCACAAGGAGGAGGAACAGGAGCTTTCTGATTTCTCTCATTAAAGATGTTCAAGCTAGAAATGGGAACTGTTAACTAGTCATGGTTGACCATTTAACCTTGCTTTCCCAAATCCACATGCACTGATCACTGGAGAAACAGAATAGGCCTTATCTTGGGGTTCTGAGTCTGAATATTTGGCAGACAATTAGAGTTTGGAGTAGTGTTTTGATTAGAAAAACACTGAGGACATTATGGCATTTGGCTTTCCGTATTCCTTATTCCCTGATCTGAGGCCAGGGAAAGCAAAGAAGACTCTATCTGTAGGGAGGCCCTGCTGTTGATCCAGTTCCAATGATGAGAT